CCCGAGTTCAAACGGTCGATAAACAATGATTCTGATAAAAAAAATACTATAGCTTTGAATGCTCGGAAAAAATCGGTTTTTTCCAATATCCGCGGGTTCTTTACGGGTTTTCATCTACCTTACGAAAAAAAAGAAAAATAAATAAATGTGACAGTTTTTAACCGAACGCACATAAATTCTTCTAAACAAATTTGCCTACGTTTATGATAGAAACGGAAGAAATCCGTGGAGAAATTGGTGAAAACTGGAGTTTTTCCAAATTTCTTCAAAATTATTACATTATTATAACAAATTACAACAATTACACAAAATTATACAAATTCTCGTTTGCCCATAATCAGACAAGAATTTAATCGATTCAACTAAATAGGTTCTTTCTCAGTGTAAGCAAACGCAAATTATCTTTAAGAACGTCACAGTAGCATTAAAATTTCGATTCGGGCATCTATTTTTCCATCTGTTTGAACTTGAATTATTTATTAACTAATTTCCCGAGACGCACGCGCACGCGTGATCATACCACGAGCAATTCGTAAATCTCGAGATATCCCGGACACGGACCGGCCGCCGCAGTGACGCGAAGTCTCGGCGAAATTGATAGCGTAAAGTCGCGATGGGGGTCGATTAAATTCGCATTACGTTCACCCCTCGTAGATAGTTGTGGGAAGAGAAAGAGAAAGGGAGGGAGGGAGAAGGAGAGATTACACAAAGTGGCCGGCTTCCTCGCCGGGCGAGGGCGCTACTCCCTTTCTCGAGCGGCGGTCTCGAAACCCACGACGACGGTGGCGGCTCGTCCCCTTAGCGCTAATTAGCGCGGGACACGCACGCTCCACGACGAGACTCGTGTCGGGCACGTGTCGTGCCCGGAAACTCGCTTAGCGCGCGACAAACAGACCGTTTCCCATCGTACACGCGCTTCTTCCGGTCGTTTCCACCGAGGAAACGTGGCAGCTGATTAAATCGCCATTAAAACGTGCGTCCCTATCGCTTCCCGATCGACGCTTCCTTTTATGTACCATTTTCCCCGGACGGTCACTTAAAAAAAAAAAAAACGAAAACGGATCGACTGGTTTGTGGGATCAGTCTCGCACGCGTCACTCGATATTACGTATCATCGTGAACGCGCGTGGAGATTTGATCGTCCCGTATATCCGCCGGGTCTGAGATATTTCAAGAATATATAATGTACAGAATATAGAAAATATAGACAATGCAGAACGCGCCGCATCCGATTAATGTTTCATGACGTAGGTTGCTTTGTTGTAGCAACATAAATCCGCATTTCTTTGTGAAAAAGTTGTTTTAGGGTGGTGCGGCGAGCGGTTATTTTCTCCTCGGGAACCTGTCGATAATAAACCGCGCTGGATTACAGGGAAAATTGCACGATTGTGGCCGTGTGTTGCGCGCTGTGCGCACTCGGTAGCAAGCTCGGCTCTGCCGCGGGGATACCGCATGCGATCGGCTTCGACGCACGGCGCCGCACAAATGTGTTTCCCGTCTGGATTTTCTGCTTATTGCGTGCGGCAATAATCTGCCGGCTCCGAAGTTAGCCACAATCGTCGCGGGTGATTCGTCAAACTGGGTTAATCTTGTGTCATTTAGTAATCTTGCGTCGCGTTTGAAAAACGACATCGCGAATTACCAGTGTGCAATCGCGACAAATCGAGATTTCCCCTTTGTTCTACATCACAGGATTATAATGCAACATAGTACTTTGTGATCGAATTATGCTTGTCCCTTGTCATTTAGCGACTCTCCAACGTACTCGAATGAAAACCAAAACGCAACGTCGTACACGGGAGAAAAGAATTAGCCGTATAATATAATAAAGTCTCTTTAGTAAAAAAGAAAAGAATTAAAACAACGGCAATTTCGCGGCAATTACGCTGATGACGGCCGTTAACGAATTTTATTTATCATGGCAAATTTCTACCTCGGGCGACTTTGTACGGCGAAAGGAAGAAAAATAACCGCTCGCATGTGCGTGACGAGACACGATTTCCATACGAAACAGCCTGATGATCTGCCGATATATTTATTGCGGGCAATGTGCGTGTTCGTTTGGGTCTACCGCGGCACACAAACCTCGAATGAATCAAATCCGGAACTAATCTGATTGTATGCCAATCCATTTTTCCGGCTTACATCGCAAAAGGAATTGTTATCGTTATCCAACGAAAGGACGGAAGAATATTTTCGCTACGGCGTATTTCCTGTATTTAAACGCTGACAGATGAATTTCTTCACGTTGATGTTTACGTATTGCGAATTAAATGATAGACAGTAAGAAATGTGTTAAAAACAGCCGTAATTTGACAAGGTGGGTGTGTTAATTTAACATTATATTTGTATACTTTTTAACATATTTGCGTACTTTTTACATTCTTCATGTTAAAATAACACGACATTTCGGTGGACCACTTTTAACACAAAATGTTTTACTGTGCGGAAAATCGAAGTCACGCAGTTTTGTGCGGAAGAGAAAAAAATGTTGCTAACAAAATATAAACGTTGTAAAAATAACGTAATAAGTAACACGTGTCATTCGAGAATTCGCGTTATTTAATACACACAGTAAAAAGCATTTCGTGCTTGTATTAAAATCGGTCTTTGTTAAAATTTCTGTCTTAAATTATTGGCATACCCATGTATCAATTTAACGTATTACATTTATGTTACCGCGATATTTTGTGTTGAGTCGATATTCAGCACGTGCGTGTGTTAAAATAACACAAAAGTTTGCGTGGGCCGTTTGTGCGGGACATGTAAAATCTGTTAAATTCAATACAAAATTTTTTACTGTGCGGAAGCACGGTTTAAACTGAAATCCTTGGTTAGCTCGGCGAAAGCTTCAATGTTGCAAGCCGGATTTAGACACACTTCGGTGATCTTTCTTTCTATTACCTTTTGCTATCTAAAGTGGACGGCGGCGCGATATCGACCTGGTGTGTCGCGTATATATGCCCTCTGCGTGATTCTTTCATATGCGAAAAGGGTCAGTCGCATAGAGACGTGGGTGTGACATTCGCGGAGACACCCTATTGAAGATGCACCACGGACATGTTGCGTTTAAATGCGCGTGTCGATATAAAGGCGCGGCCGGACTAGCGCGTGGGGTCTCGTCGTTTTTCGTCGCGGCGAGTCGAATAAAACGGCGCATTACGACGTTATCTCATTCGCGCGATAACGCGCATCAAGCAAATGCAATTTTTTTCTACGCACACTCCAGAATGACACACGACGCTTATTACCCTTAATGAGTCGAGTGACGTTAATAATAAACGCGGAGACACGAATTGAAATCTTGTAAATCCGTCGGGGGGGAAGAGGGGATGTTTCATACATTTCCCATGTTGAAGTGACACGAAATTTCAATCGGACTGTTTTTAACACATCTTTTATAGAAGTCGAAATCACGCGGTTTTATGCGAAAGAGAAAACATTTCGCAAGCAAGATAATTCACGTTATTTAATGCAGAAGCACGTTTAATATGCGAACCTTAATTCAAAGAAATGTATCTCGAGGTATTTTTGGTAACAATAAGTACTGCAATTCTCGTGATTCGCGTTAAAAAATCGATATATTTTGCGGCGAAATTAACAGGCTCGACGCTCTGTCGGGATTGCAATTCAAAGGAAAAAATATTAATTTTGCCTCTCTCTCTCAAGTATATGTTGCTTTCGAGGTCTTCGTGACGCGACGAAGAACCTGGAGAGTATCCGCTCGGATATCGAAATAAATACGTCCTGCGCGTAGTTAGAAAGGTCTGTATTTTAAACGAATCCTGCTGGTCGGTTCTCGGAAACTAGGGAACAGGTCTTTTTCGCCTTCCTTCTGCGCGACGCGCGACCTCTCGTCGAACATTTCGCCGATCACAAGACAACAGTGGTCTGAATAATGTACGGAATAGCCTGCCATGGTGGCAACAAGGCAGTCTTCATAAATAATTCGAAAACCGCCCCCGAAGAGTCGATCGTCTTTTCTGTTCCATGTATCGCGAAGAGCGATGCGCCCGGGATACGTGACAAAGCGTAAAAGATTAATGACGTTAAAGCGCGACTCGGGACGAAAAAGACAACTGAATTTAAGGGTATGATATATCCCCCGGATATATAATTACGACAACGTAAATAAGTAACTATTGAAATAATTTCGGAACTTCCCTCTTACGATTTGTTCTTCCGATTAACACGCTGTCGGAAAGTATGTACATTCATCATGAAGAATACAACGCATCGATGATTGATTAACCATTTCGATATCTGAAATATCGAGCCGTTCCGTTGTCGAGATTATTTTTAACTGTCCGCCTCGCTTCTTCCATTTCAGAATGGAGAGACTAAGGGCAGAGAAGCTCGTTACGAACAATTGTAGTTATTGATCGGCGATATGCAGCAGCAACATTTGGTCAAAGACCGCGGAGAAAGAAGAAGTTTAAGGGAGAACACGCGACAAGCTGTAATTCCGTGGACGCAACTTCGGCGCACACGAGTATAGTCGTAACGTAAAAATTAGATATACAAAGTAGGGGCTTGTTACCAACGATTGCAATTATCGATGCTCACGCAACATTCGCGTACTCGCCGAAACTTTCTCATATGGTCGTCCACCTCGCTCGTGTGCGGACCGGTTAGCGCGTTAAATAGAGAGAGAGGGAGAGAGAAAGGCTCGAAGCTTTTCACAAAGAACAGATCACAAAGAGACACACGTTCCTGAGACTTCGTATTAAGTATTTAGGACACGCAGGAGGAACTACACGCGAGAGTAACTCCGTCCATGACGAACTTCCATTCCGCGCACTTGACGGCGGGAACTACTTGCTTCAAAGTATCGTTGGATACAGCGTGTTATTTTATCGCAAAGTTGAGCGCAATTTCAGAAAACAGAATACAAAAGAAGCCGCGATGAATGTACCGCGAGATATCGCAAATCTCGAATCGATTCGGAAGATTTGACTTGAAATGAAATTCGAGCGTTTCGATCGTTGTTGAGGACTTACCGGTGTGGATGTAGGTGTGCTTCTTCATGTCCGATTTCTGGTGAAACCTCTTGCCGCAATATTGACAGGGGTAGGGCCTCGTGTCGGAATGGATCAGGAGGTGAGTGCTGAGCGTGCTCGATCGTTTGAAGGCTTTGCCGCACTGCTTACACTGTTGTAACAAACAGATCAAGTGATTTACCCTCGGGGTTCGCGTCATTTCTATGCGGTTCAGGCGCGCATCTAATCGTCTCCGCGAATGATTTTACAATCGACTATCTCCGCGGATCCATGCTTATCCATCGAAATTTTTCCGATTGTTCCCCAAGGAATAATCTCGAAATCGCACTCGCCGCGTTCAGATCCCATAATGTAAAGCGATAGATTCCGGTTCGGTCGCTAATAGGAATTTTCGCCGCTGACAAATCACCGTCGCCTGACTGTTAAACCGCTAAGTAGCTAATTTATCAATTCCTTCCCGACAGCTCGTGTGCCCGTGTATAGCACGCGATATCGATTGCATCCCTCTCGGGAGAATTCTCTTCCGCGGTTGCGCCCCTTTTTATCTCGCGCCGATCTCGAGATCCTTTCCGTTTCATGTCCGTCGTGCATATTACATATCGCGCTGTGTTTGTACGTGCTATACACGTATTGATCATTTCAAGCTTCCCGACAAACTCCATGGAAAACATCTCGCGTGGATTCTCACACTCCCGCGAATTCATTGCGATTCGCCGAACGCAAATTCGACGTGTTATGGTACGGGAAAAATATTGCAGTAAAAATTACCGCAAAATTCATGCTGGCCCATTGCCGAAATTATCACTGAAATTATTGTTACATGTGTCGTAATCTTCAGTGATGTTTACAGTGAGATACATCGCTAAAAATTACAACGCGCATCATCGAATTTCAGTGTGAAATTTCAACACATTATAATTCCGGGTATGGTCGAGCGTTGCAAATTTTCGTGGCGATTTCTGCGTTTGCAATATTTCCTCCATGTACAGCAAACTCCATTAATATCGTCCCGTTCCCTTCAGCATTCAGCATTGAAGATTTCCAATTAGTTCTTTTTGAATATTCGTGCATCGTGACCGCTGTTTCGTTGACCGATTCATCAAATTGTCAGCGGCGATGATGCACAAATAATGCATCCGATTGCAAATTTTCGACGCCACTATGTCTAAGGAATGGAACAGCATTGACGGAGTCTGTTGTACAATAACAAACAGGGCATTCGTACGCGTTTCCCCGTCTTGTCTTCCTTCCGGGAACTTCTGCTCCTTCTCATACTCACTACAATTATCATAATCGCCGGGGGAACGGGTACCGCGTCCCGAGTCGCCGCGGCGCGACTTCTCCGGCGCGGTGAAGTCTTTCGCTTTTCAAGCGCGGACGCGCGCGAGGAGGGAATGAAAGCGAACGCGACAAGGGTGGACGAAGGCGCACTCGGGCGCCGGGACGCCAGGCGGACACCTGTGTTTACGAGGAGCGTCGTTGCTCGTTTCTTTCTCTCTCATTTTCACTCACTCGCTCTCTCTCTCTCTTCGCCGGCTCATTGTCACACGGGCGCCAGTCGTCACAATGGCGCGGCGTGGCTCGATGCGTGTCCAGGCTGACAATATACACACACGGCGGTATGAATATGCCAAGCGCGGAATATTATTACGCGCGCGCGCGCGCGAATACACGAGTGCAACTACGCATGATTCACGGTGCGCCGCGATCGATATGGGGAAGCGACCTATCTTCACGCGATACTCGACTTCTTTCGCCGGTACGCCGCGCCGCGTACTTCGCGTTCGCGCCCTTCGAAACTGACCGCCGCGGCGGCACACACCGGCCTTACGCGCGTTTCTACCATCGTGGCTTAAATCTAATCGACGACTGACTCTACGGGACGCGGGGCTGACCGATCGCATCGATCGGTTTGGCTAATTATCATCGCAGTTGTTTTCACCGGCTCTCCTCGGACGGATTATTAAATTCGACAACACGGGCGAGGAAGATACATACGAGACACTCGAAACAATCACTTCTGTTCTCGACACTTTATTAAAGTCACATTGATTTTTTTTTTATAGTTTTGCGGGCTCAAAAAATGTAGTTTTTTCTCAGTTTCTCTCCGCGAACGAATGAAAAAAAAATGGGACAAATTTGTGACTCTCTAAATTTTCCACGGGTTCTCTCGGTTTCTTTCCGATGAGAAATTGAAAAAATTGGTTTCTTTAACTAAATATCTTTTTTACGAGCTTCCTGTTATTTCTAAATGGGAATTAGTCTTGATAAAATATTATTTCCACTTGCAGCCGCGCGTACGCCTGGATGCCTCGCATCGAATATTGATTTCAGCGTGAGAGCGTTTTGAGTTTTCAACGTGGAACGCGATACACTAATCCGGATCGCATTGTTCCTTCATACTCACAGTCATATCGTGCATCAAATATATCTTCGCGAATCCCGTTGTCTTTCAACCTGCCGAACCACGCGAGCTACGTTTCCCATCCGACAGCTCGTAATATTAAAATGCTCAACAAAGCGGCAGAGTGACATATTCGCGACCCTACCGCTTAACTGTAATTAAAGCAACATGCTCCCGTCGCGGTGACGCATTACAATGGTCACGACACTAACGACTCCCACGCACAACAATTGTCACCCTTAATTGCCCCCGCCGCCCATATGGCAAGATACTCTCCGAACAGCCAGCGGTGGGACGCGTCGTCCCGTTTGCGGATTCGACGAAAAGGAAGGGGGAGGAAAGAAAGGGAAATCGGCCACGACGACGGCGAGGGTGAGGTTTTTATTAATAAATACTGCCGAGAGAGAAAGAGAGAGAGAGAGAGAGATCGGTCGAAGGAAACGGCGAATTGTGGGAAGAACGATGCCGTACTTTGCCATTGTCGCCGCACGAAAACGTCCGCTTCCGGTACCGGCTCGGAAACAAAGCCCTGAGCCGGCGGCCGGCCTCGTCCTCGGCCTCGACCGCCTTCCAGGTTCCCCATGTTCCTCGCGAATCGCGAGGGCCGCGCGGAGTACGCTCGAAAAATCGTGCACTCACCGTTAATCTCTCGCGTCGCTCTTTGTCCGGCGCGTTTTCTTTCCGCCGGCGATACCGTGCCGCCGTCGAAACATCTGTCGCGCCTCGACGACGGCTCGGATTAAATAAAGGAAGCTTGTCGCGGCTTTCCCACGGACGAGGAGGTGTATACACCGCGGTAAAGACTCGCGCGAGCCTCCGCGACATCCCGAAGGGAATACGAGAAAGCGATAATCGAGGATCGATCGGCTTCATCGCGGCGAGTTCCGACGGCGCGCGATCACACTCGAGGCACTACCCCCGCGACGCTCGATGTTAGAGGCGCCGAGGGTGACATTTCGCCTGATCCCAACGTGACTCGCGTCGTTCGAACGAGTAATTTCCGCCCTGGGAAATCGCGCGCCGGAAATCACAAAATCCCGACGGAAGCCGAGCCGGAGCCGTGAGTAAGAATTTGTTCGACATTTTCACCGCATAATAAATGCAATAAATAAAAATTGATAATAAACTTAATAAACACAAATAGTTCATAAAAATACAAAAAGAACCACCATTTTTATCTCTTCTTTTTTTTTTTTATATAGGCTTGAAAGACGTATGATGTTACTTAAAAATCACGAGAGAGAGTAACGTGTGATTCATGATATCCGTGATGCAAATCCAAGGAATAAGCATCGTCGAGCAGTTATCCTGCGAAACCGAGGTCGAAGCGCCAAGTAAAATCTGTGGCGTACACTCGAGCACCCCCTCCCCGTATCTGTCCGTGTAAGGACGTGCGTACGTGGACAAACGCGCTTACGCATGTGTGCGGCCCACATATCCCTAATGTGTCGGGTTACGGTTACGTGTCGGGCGTGAAACCACGGCGAGGCGAGTTTCTACTTCCATTCAATCGCCCGCGTAATTGCGGCGGAGCCCTTTTGTCGAGGTCCGATATTCGTCAAACGTTTGACCCGTTTCCTCGCCCCGACGCGCGAGCCCGGCGCACTTAAGGGTACTTACGCCCCGAAGAAATTCGTATCGCGTGACTCGCCCGGCGATTTTTCTTTTCTGGAACGGAGATCGACCGGTTCTCGTCCGGTATGTATGTAAAAAAAGGAAAAGAAAGAGAGAGAGAGAGAGAGAGAAAGAAAAAGTCCGGATAGCTTCTGTGCGTACGAGCGCGTCGAGGAAACGACGTCGCTTCGTGATAAGACGGGTCCGAGAGGATGAAGACGAATGTTGGACGACTCGTTCGTCCGGATTACTTCGTTATGCTAATTACGCCCCGCGGTTACGTTGTAACAGATGTATGACGGCTGATGACGACGTCTCCGTCTGTGAGCGCAAGCATTCGATGCTGGCGTCTCGCTTGAGACGTGGGGAAAGTCGTAGAATTTTCCTCGAGAATACACACGAACGTGTGGCTCTCCTGTTTGCTCGAAGTGCAAGCGTCGTTCGTTCATTCATAACCGCCGAATCATTGAGCGTTTCGTAGTTAAGTTGTATACCGACGAATATTTTTACAAGTGAGGAACTTATTCTCAGCCGGCTGAGAGTAGTTTTTATTTTATATATTTCGCGTAAAAATTATTTGCTTCGTAAAAGATGAAATTAATGAAAAACGAAAAAAAGGATAAGAAGAAGACTTTGAATGTCAGAATCAGTTGTGTTTATAATAAATATAGCATTGTGGTTGAATCAGTTATCGAGCGTTATTGCATTTTACTGTGCAAAAAAGAAGAACTAAAATTGCTGCCGCGTAGAGTAGGTGTAAAAGCGTCGCCTAGCTCAGCTGTGGTCGACGTTCACCTCGATAAACCCTTTTCTCGTTTGCGCTAAATATGTATGTATGGCACGAAGGAACCCATCGATTTTCAAGGAAATCAACGTGACCTCGTCGTCAGATTGGCCTGGAGCACTTTGCCGTTGCGCCTCGTAAAAAAAAATGGACACCAGGCACCACATATCGATCATCGGCGACCTTTTTCGAGAGCTGTCGCGTTCTGAGAAGCTCCGCTCATAAACTATTAATCCGGCCGAGAATAATGTTCCTGTCTTCGCGGTTTATAGAAGAACCGCCGGTGGGCGGCTTAACTGCGAAGCCTTGATTGAAGGCACCATTGATAGAAAAAAAAAACGCTTCATTCTTTCCCCGAGTTCTTTTCCCATTGAACGCCTTTGTAAATCTCACGCTATCGCTTTCAGATATCCAGAGCGGAATTATAATCAGCAATATCTTTCAACGAGAATTTTGTTAAATTATTTCTCATCGAGTTGAGACACATAGAAAAAAAAGTGCTGGAATCAATCATAAATGAAATTGTTTTTCAGCTTCTTCGATCGAGTAATTCTTTTTATCTATTTAAGCATATTCTAATAGTTTGTAGTAAATACTTATTGGAACACAGTAATACTCTAATTTATAAACGAATACTCTAATTTATACCGATGTAAATGTCAAATGGTTATGAATTTAAAAAGCACCGGGATCATGCGATATTTCGTTTTTGTTGAGAAAAATCGAATGGTGGAAGAAATCGCGTGGAAGCTCGGAAAAATCGAAGAGAGAGCGAGGGAACGAGAGGGGGTTGCTAAATCGGGACCAATTACCGGCGGTAAGCTGCCCCGGCGATGTGTTGTTTAGGAGGACGTCGCGATCGGGCGATCGGTCGAGTTGATCGCACGCGAAACGAGCCGCGCGGTGGAAATCGAAGCTTCTTTACGAGCTCGGGACGCGCCCGCCAATAAAAGCCGGAGTCGAGTGTTTGCCGACCTCGTAAAATCGGCGTCGTACGTACGACAGAGAGAGAGAGAGAGAGAGAAACGCCCGGGCATGTATGTACTCCGCGATCCACTTGCTACGATGGGAAACATCGTGGAAGCCCAGGGTCGAGATTTCCAAGACCGATATTCGCTCGCCTTCCTCGGAAGCCTATCGGCCGGCTATCTTCCGCGGTGGCGATTTGCAATGAGGCCCACGTGGTCTGCGCGGCCTGCCGCGCCGTGAAAATCTTTCTTTACGGCGCGATACTCGCATTTTTCCGCGTCGCGACTCCCGAGTAGGTTTTTCCGATTTCCCAAGCGAGAGGGGGAGGTAGACCGAAAGATAACGCGTGAAGTGCTTTTCAGATGCGTACTTTTTCGTCGCTTACTTCAATACACCCTCCCCTCTCTACCGGAAGCTCCCGAGAATATTTCTTTCTCTTCGCGTCGGGATAACGCGTCATCTGTTCTCGGAGTTAATAACTGCGGCGGGACGAACTGTCCGGTGAAACCGGGATGAAGTGAATGAGGGTAAAGAGATACGATGTATTTAACACTCACTTGAAAAGTCCTCTCGGTCGAAGAGGGCGGTGTAAGAGGCGAGTGATGAATTTGCCGCGTAATTATAGGGGTCGAGGACGGACTCCTGGTAGAGGACGGCGCTCTCGTTTCCCTGGCCTCCCTCTCGCACACCGAACCCGGCGACCAGATTTCACTTTTCCTGCTGATACTCGACGAGACGTCGCTCGGCTTCGTACTGAGGTTCAGCGGCACCTCCTCCTCTGAAAAGACACATCGTCCGTCTATTTGCTTGTTTAGCGCTCATCGAATTGTTTCTCACTTTGTACCGTCTATTTGCTTGAACCGCGCCCGCACACAATTTCGACGACGCGAATGTGACTGGATTAAATTATTCACGTAGGATAATGCACATTTTCTTCGCTCGTGTAGAAGTAATCGGACTCGGAAAAATGATTCGCGATCAGCAATTACTGATAACCGGGCCTCTGACGTCGTTATTAAGGGCGGGGGAATTTTATAGTTTTTCCTTGCACTTTAATACACCGAAGATACAAATATGTGCGGATCGAGGAGAGAATTAATTGGTTGTAATTACTTTCTGTCGATGCGGCGAAGTCGAGTGACGGCGATAAATGATGCCTCCTGTGACAACGTTCTCCGATCGATAGCGCCCACTTACCGATAATTGCTCGGTAGTTTGTCTACTTTTTTAAAGGGACACTCGCTGAGAGAACGCTCTACTAAAAGGCCTACCGACTGAACCAGATACGAGAGCAGTTTCTCCAAATTTAACCTTCCCTAATTTCAACCCTCACGATCGCGATCAAACTCCCATTTACTTGATTAAAAATATAGGATTAATTAATTAAAAATAATGGGGTTAATCCATTATAATAGACAAAAATGCATAAAAATAAACGGGAAATAAGTAAAGAGATAATATATTTTTTTCTGCAAATAAGTAAATAAATAATATTATGAATAAGTTTATTGAAAGTATTATTATTATTATTAGAAAAAAGTTTGTTATTATTATTATTATTATAAATAATACATTTGTTGAAAGTATAGAGTCCGATTCAGATTTTTCGGGAAGGGGTGGGAGGAGGGGGACAGAATTCGATTCGGGGAAAATCCGAATAAAAGCCTCACCGAATTTAGCCTTCTCGGGCGTGCATCTTCGCGGTGATCCGGGACGCGCCGGGCTGAGGGGTTCCGGATGAATGGGCGAGCAGTTCGTGACCGGTGTCGTCTGTTGGGATGGGATTCTTGTAGGTGGTAGCAAGGAATGTGGCAGCAGCAGGCCCACGTGACGGGCCCACCAGGCGCTGCTGGACGACCCATAGCCGCCGTACATCAGGCCGCAACGCATCTCTGAAACAAAAAGGATCGTCGCGCATTGAGCTGGAATCTGGAAGCTCGATACCTTGCGTGTAACGTTAGATTTGCGGATCGCTTTTGTCTCAGGAGGAATTGCATCGGTCGAGGTGCGCGAGTCGAGTAAAATGTCAAGCGTGTGAAACCGAAGGATCGTTGTTACCGCGTTCAAAGCTGTCGTACGACTTAATGGATTATTGAATTGTTTTGCATCGTGTATCGCCATACTCGACAAACAAACGAGTAAAAATAACGTAATTTTTGGCCGGTACTTTTTTTAATTCTTCGTTCGCCGTGGTTCTTTGTGGGATTCGCGAGCAGATTTCGGAAAATTGTGGAAGATGAAAAATGACGAGTCTCGGGACTTACCTCGCGCGGCGACGCTGGCTGGGAGAGGTAGACTCTGCAGTCTCAGATCGGGATTGTAATTTGAGACGAGGGTGAAGGCGCTGAAACGGTCGGGGACAGGTGGACAAAGGCCCGTGGGTGCATTGGTCGAGGAGATGGTGCTCGAACTACTCCCGGGTACACCCGGGCTCCAAGGCGAGGGTGGCAATGCGATCACGCTCGGGCTGCTGGGCGGCGAGAGGGTGACCGGGGGTGACAAAGCGCCCGCCGGGATTCCTAGGGGATTGCAATGGAGTTCCGGTTTCATGTGCCAAGTTCGAGGTACCGCTTCTGTTACGGGAAAGTAAAAAAGTATGATTTACGACATCGGTTTAGTCGAGAGTAATTAGGCGTGTAATAAATGTCGAGAACGAGGAAGAGAGAGAGAGAGGAAGAAGAAAATCGGGTGCGTTTAAATGCAAATATATTTCGACCGTGACCGTGTAGATAAGAGCGGTGGGAATTAAAAATAGCGGACTTTAAAGCGAAACGGACGCCGTTTCGATTGTTTCGTTGCTTATTCAAAAATCGTACGTAATATTGGCTTTAAGGAATTATTATCAATTGAAACGTTTTGTTTGATAAGTCATTAATTTAGGGACATTTTTTTCGTAAAAACTATAAGAATTTTTTCACCGTTTACAGCGTCCGGAATCCATGGCACCAGGCAAATTATTTATAACTTTATTAATATCGAAGATAATAATGCATAGAAATTACTGTGTATGCTTAAAGTATAGATAAATAATTGTGTATAAAACTTCAGAATTGTATGTCTTACAGTTTTGTCGAAAGAAATTTCTAAAACTCGCCTACAAAAAAGAACGACGTTTCAAATAAGAATTTGAGTGAAAATCTATTTTTACGAGAGATTAGACGCGAATCTCTCACGCGGGGAAGGCAAAGAAATGGTCACTTTGATCATTTCGTGCACATTTCTTCCCAACTGTTTACGTGATTTTGCAGGCGATCGCTTCGCAGCGATTGGGTGTAATTTTACATTCATGTTCATAGCGTGTCTGTCGGCCGCTCTATTTCTGTACCGTTTAACGTCGAAAATTATCTCGAAACTTCCATGGAATAAATAAACCGCGAAAACGTTAAGTGCGAGCTGGTATTCCGCTCGAAAGCACGCGTAGAAGCCGCATTCCGTGAATGCGTTCATTATGTACACGAAACATATCCGTTAACAGAGGAATGAATAATACATGGAGCCTTGGAGCGGATTCTTTCGTGACGCGTTAAATCTGATGACGCTGATCGCGAGCGACGCGATCGAAATTGTTTGGCCGATCGCGCGTTTCGCATGAATGAAGAATGATCGCGGGCCAAATCACGACCACGGCTACCGTGGTTGCGCAAATCGCGCCTTGAATTACAAAGTCTCGAAATATATCTTGCTTTTTCAGACTGAGCTACGCGCCGCAAGCACACACGTGCTTTAAACTAAATTTACCCCCGTTAAACTGTTATTTTTCACGTTTGTTATTATCGAACATTGTCGCACGATAGTTAAACTATCCGCACGATAATTCCGAACACGGAGATATGAAATGTTGCTTTCGCGGAATAACATCGTGAGTGTATATCGTCGAGAATCTCATAAATAATATGAATTTATGATAAATCATGACACACATTCGCGTGCGGGCATATTATTCATGCAGATAGAGATACGCGATATTTGAATATTTTCTTACGCGCATAAACTTCGGGACACACTGCTATCCGTTTAGTCCACCGCGGTTCTAAATCACCCGCTGTACATTTGCACGGCGCTAATTCAACATTATCTCGGGATTTTTCGCGATTCTTCTCGAAATACGTTCTGGTAAATTGAATGATTACATCGTAATAAATGTTTATACATATATATTAACGATAATTCCATCATATATAGGATATATTGTCCCCGAATTATTCACTGCTCGTATCCCGTTTTCTCCTCATACTCGCGGAAGCGCCGAACTATTAAGAACCCTCAATATTCATAACGGTCACTCAGCCGAGGTTATTTAAACCGTCGTTGTTTCCGTTATCGCTCGGCGATCTCGCACACCGAATGAATAAGGGATGTTTATGCCCGTTGCGTTTAACGCGAGCACGCCGGGCGTTTAATGCATCGTCGGCGGTCGTCGCCGTGTTTCACGTGTATCAGATTCGCGGCGGGATATAAAAAGCCTGTGTGCAACGAAAAAAAAAAGAAAGAAGAGAGGGAGAGAGAGAGAGAGGGGGGCATGCACGGGGCGAGGACGAACAGGGCAGAAATCACAAACGGCGCGGCGCGCGGTTGTCGGCCGGCGAAATGAATTATAAATCGCGCGGCGTGCGTGCCCGCGCGACTCGCGAGCGAGCGAGCGGAATCGAGAGACGAGATCCTAATCGCGAGGTCGGACAGACGTGATTGCTCGACGAGCTTCGTTCGCGACGAGTCGTGATAAAATACTCGACCGCCGTACGACGACGCCGGACTCTCGACGGGGCCAGGCTCTCTCGAAAGCGCCGATTAGCGATCAGGTCAGCTCGCGTAGCGGTAACCGGCATTGTGCAGGCATTGCTCCGCGGCTGATACCGCGCAATGCGATCGTGCGGTACCTTCGCCGGCATCGAGGAACTCGATATTTCGCGGGCGACGCGCGCACAAGATGAAAATCCCGACTAGAATCAATTGGGAAAGCGTAACGGCAGGTGAGAACTTGTGTCTAATATATATATGAACCAAATTTGGTTCTTACAGCTGAAAATGCTGTTTTCTTCATTCAAAACGCGTTTGCTTGTTCATTATCAAGTAGATCGAATCAAATCATTTTTTCGGCGTGAAGCAGTCAGTTAGAGAAGATGGTATTATGGCCCTTGTAGGTATTACGGCCTTTTTTAATATCCACTGTTGTGTGAGGAATTCTAGTGAGGATTACTTATGAAATCATATATTTAGCAGCGCTAATACGCGAATACAGAACAGTCGGCATTTATTATTACGTATTTTTACTTTTAAATATCTCGAAACGTTTTTAAAGGTATAATTTAGCACTTAAATATATATACCTCCCCATTTGTCTTGAACATGAGTGTATTGTCACACGAATATTACAGATTTAAGTGTTTCGTTCATTATTTAACATTTCATTCAGCCCCATATATTTCCGAGTTATGCAAAGTTAAACAATAGCGTAGCCTTTTGCTAATACGGCGCCTTAAGAATGCGGCTGCTTTCATGTTGATAAATGTTATTATTATTAAGTTTGAGACGTTCGATTAATATTAAATGAGTAATAAAGTGATATTAATCTAATACTAATTATAAATGATTTAAAACTTCTTTGATTCAATAGTAATCACGCTATTAGATCAGCGTTGGCTCTCGCTCGCCATTATTCTTGCCCGTATTGATTCTGATTGAGAATCTCAATGTCTCGTGTTCGATTTCCACGCAAATTATCGGGCAAACGGTACACGCCAGGGTAATTTTCGAGGCTACCGTCGTGCTTTCTCCACGTAGAAAAACGGAATAGCCGTTTCGCGTGAAGCTCTACGGCGCGTCGCGAAGCGTTGATAATCCGCGAAGTAAATCACTGGCTCGAAGGTCCCATCGCGCTGATAAGAATCGCGCCTGGACATAAACTACAACTAATAACTGCTACTCGTTGTTTGGATAAATCTGTAATGCGCATTCGCTACGAGCCGCATTCCTGCATAATTCATGCCCGACGTGCCGGCAGCGGAAATTTGTTACTCGTTTCCATAGATAACGGCGGGCGATGCAGTTTTATGTCAATCGTTCGACGTTGCTCACCGCGAATATGCGAGTTATCGCCCGTCGCTTTTGGACGGGCGGGAATTTAGAGCGGACGGACAAGCACGTTGCAACGCTTCGGACGTGTTTGCAAATAAAACGAAAGGAAGACTAAACTCTCGGCTGGCAGAATCATAGTGTTTTTGCGGACAACGCGTTAAGTGCTAACGACGATTGCAAAAAAGAAAAAAAAAACGAATGGAAGTCGGATGAGTCATCGTGTCGCCTTGAGCCTGATTAGTCGTCACGACAATATCGGAACAATATCGGAACTCTAGTAAAATGATATTACAAATTATAAGAGATATACAAACGTCCCCCGTATATATGAAATGGGGAGAAAAGAAAAATGGAACGGAAAGCGAAATTTGTTGAGAAGGCCGCGATCTCTCAGGAGGAAGTTTCCAATGATCCGCGTCTCCTTCGGGCGTTCTCTTCCGATTAGACGGATATATTTTCACAATTGGCGCATCAATTTAGCGATATATATCGCGGTCGCTTCTGGCCCGTTGTTGTCTAAGCGTCACGTTGTCCGCGATAAAGAGCTCTGTCTTGTTTGTTGCACGCGTGAGAATAAATCATGAGCGTCGCGCGAACCGATTTCCTGCTACGCTCTTATTATTAATTCTCGCGATAACGGGCGAGCGAAAGTGTCAAAAAGAGAAGGAAACGCGAAGGAAGAAAAGGAAAGGAAAGGGAAGAGAAGAGGACGTTACGTAAATATATCGGGGAATAATTTACTGCGTTTCTACCATCGCCGATATCGTCGATTAATTAATATCGTTCGACACGACGACATGGGAGAGGAGAGAGAGGGAGGCTATTTAAAAGTATTCGCGCAGAACGGGTTAAATAAAATTGGAGGATTAAAGAGGAAAACGAAGAAGGAGAGATAAATCCACACGAGACACACGCTCGGTCGCAGATATTTTCGAGTGTTGGCGCTCAATCATCGTCGAAATTGCAGCTGCAACGTCGTGCACGTCGTGTGCGTGTATGTGTGAACGTTAACTGACGATGTTTTCGCATCCTTCGACGTGTAACACATTTAAGAGGAACGATAACAAACTGCAAACTGAGCGTGCGCGATAATCGTGTGCGTGATAACAAAAATCTTCGATTAATGACGAAGATTGATTGATTCAACGCCCGGAACACTTGTGGAAATGCCGGCTGTCGCTTTAACAGATTCGGTACGTCAACTACGTCATTTCTTAATTTCACACTTGAGAGTTGACGTGTTTGTGCATATACGAGCGAAGTTTAAATTCCGAGCCAGTGACTCGTTTCTCTCTCTCTCTCTCTCTCTCTCTTTTCCTTTTCGTCGCCGAAATTAATAACAGCGGAGTAAAATTCTCCTTTAATTACCCGATTAATCACGTCTGACTCACGCAATGTTCTCGTTAACGCGGCTGTCAATCCGCGCGACTCTATTCAGAAGCCGCCGAATTCCTATGTAAAGGACGGCAGATGTGACGGCCGCGGTTATTTCGACGGA